CACAACTTGTCTCACCTTGGGGTCACACCCTTTGTACTTTGATGATAAATGTTGTCTTACGATCGATGTGGCGATCGCGTTATCGATTGAGAGCGCTTGACCGGGTATCGCTATTCCTCCCAATCATGCATTTGTGCTTCAAGGTCATCAGATGCTTGAAGCTCTGGTACATTCTGAATGAAGATCGACTTTCCCTTGTTCCGACGAAGACAGTCATCAGGGTTTTGCTTCCTTTGTTGGCGCTCGCTTCAAGTCAAATCCGAATGTTGCTTGAATCAGTCCGAAGACGGGTGGCTGATAAACAAACCGCCTCAATATTGTTTGCTGATTGCAGCGTCACACGTGACAACCGTGGTTCCCTGTAATGGATCAAATTTGGGTACCATACAATACGTACCAAGCTAGTCGGCTTAGGTTGGACACCTATTAGTAGACATATGGAATCCCACTGTTTTCGGTTGTACAACAGTTTACCTTTTTATGGTGTTCGTGTTAGATACAGGAACACTGGAACATAAGGTCGTCAGCAGCTCATGGACTGGTTTTGAAATAATCCATTTGTGAAAGAGCGGAATTTGAATTTTCGATGGAAGATTAGAAGCATGTGGGGGCAATTCTGGTGGACTGCATGCTCGCGTCAGGTGTAGCCATTAAATTTCTTGTTGGTGCTCGAGCAGCGGCAACGGACGTGTATGTAATCACGCCTACAGTGGTAGCCGGTATGTTCACGAATGCCTGTATAGCATGCGCCACAGGATGGGAGTCGCCGTAGTAAGTGGAACTAGATATTTTGCCAGATTTCGGATTGTTGTTGATGTATGTAGTTTCACGATTTTACCCTTACCTATGGTTTGGCTATTATATTCAGCTGCGGAGCCATGGGTGTCGAGCTCTGTGGCGGTTGGATCCGAAGGTTATCATTTACTAAGCCTAGATTCCTCGACCATCGCCACTAGGTTATCGCATTTCTGCGCCAAAATAGCTGTGTTTAGTAAGTGGAACAGCCAGACAATCAGTGCGGAACCTAAATGAGCTTGCTTTATTCTTCTTCATTTCCTTTTCGTTTGAAGAAGCACACGGCGTAATACGGTGTTCTGCATCCAGATCACAAAATACTAGTTGGAATTGTTTTCCTGCGGCGGCAAATGCTGCTCAGCTGAGTCCCGATATTCTTCGTCACGAGTTTGACTTTACTTTTCGTCCTGTTCACAAATCTGTCGACAGACTCGGGAATGAAGTCGGACGGTCGTCTATACCTTTCCTCAGTTAATTGCCTCCATAACGCTTTCAAAGTTAGCGTTAAGGAAATAGGTTTCGGCCATACATCTTTCAGAACTCGCCTTAACGCAATCAAATATCATCCACCTGGCGCGAACGCACCAAAACGCCCCACTCGTTCGGTGACCAATCCCAACTCAACCAATGGCATATCAGACTAGTTTACGACATGAGTCACCTGAGATGTTTGGGGGTAGCGCAGATCGCGTGCGATTTGGTGGGTGCCCAGTCGCGCTCGAGACTCGTATTCAGGCTTGATTGGCTACACTGAAACTACACACATGCTAGGGGGTATACTCGCAAAACTCACATCATGCCATCTGGGCTTAGCAGTCACGAGTGATCATGGTGTTTGGCATTTAACCTTTCAAGCATTTCCACTTATACGTGAAATATGATTGCGCGGTGTGTCCGCCCATTTCATCGCTAAGCTGTCCGAGGCACCCATGTGAATTAGTGCGAATTAATTGGCCCTTGGGCATAATGACATGAAGTAGCTCACAAATACCGCTGTAGATGATCAGCTGGCATGGATGTTGGGCTAGTGACACCGGAGGGACGTGGAGAGCGTGTGGACCGCAATGTGCTTCGGGGTGTCACATGCTCACTGAGCACAATATTGAAAGGTCCGCGTTTGATGGATGTAGCGATTCGAATCAGGATGAGTGTGCGCGCAGTGCACATTGGCATCCTCACCGAGGTTTCGCTCGCCTATTGCTTCCAAGTTCATCAGCTGCAAAACATAAGACCTCCTTCGTCTCTTGTTCTCAAACGTATTCATTGACTCCGGTACAGCATGTAGCTTTTTCATGGTAATGAGGCGACCCTCTAGACACTCAGCTGCACCTTCGCTCGCGTACCACTGTGCAGACATTCAATCAAGCTTACAAACTTACTCGAACAACTAAACTTACCCAATAGCAGCTACAATGCCTTGCGGTTCACCATATCGAATGCCTTGGTGAAATCAACAAAAAGCGAGTACAACGGCTGGTGTCCTTCTCTACACTTCTACAATTGGCGAGCCGAAAACACCATATCGCTGATGCTGTCACCCCAACGGAATCCACACTGCTCTTCCGCCACGTTAGGTTCGAGAACCTGTCTGACGAGGCGGTTGAGCAGGATGCGGGCAACCAACCTGCTCACACAACTCAACAAGTTGATGCCACCATAATTCGTGCAACACTGCTTGCTCCCTTTTGCTCTTGTGCAGTGGTAGCAGAAGGGCATCCTTCAGCTCAGGAGGCACCTTCTCCTCAATCCATTCGCGTTGGACCAAGTGGTGCAGCGCAGTCACCAACGCGGGTCCGCCATGTTTCAATACTTCAGGTGGGATCCCGTCGGCCGCGGCACACCTACCGTTTCGCAGCTGAGCAAGTGCTCTCTCTGTCTCCTCCACTGTCGGTGTGTCCGCCAGACTCGCCTTCACATCGTGCTGCTTGAGGCCGTTCAATGTAAGTCAGTCGATCTCGGAACGGTTGTTCAAGAGAGAGTCCAACTGTTTTTTGCCAGATCTGCATTATGTCTGCAGTCTGTGTGCAGGTAGCGCCTGAACTACCATCGATCAGCATCCTCAGCGGCTCCAATCTCGGTCAATACACCGCCTTGAAGGAGTCGAAGAATTCCTTGTGTTGTTGGCGTCCGGTGTAAATTTCCATCTGCTTCACCTTCTCCGTCCACCATGCATTTTTATTGTGACGGAGCTCTCGCGTCAGTCTTCGTCGAATTCGCCCAATCTTTCTCCTCTTCTCCAAGTCGCTGGGACCTGCGACATGTGCAGCAAATGCTAAATTTTTTCTCCGACACTAATGCGCCAATCGTCGCATTGTTCTCATCAAACCGATCAGGTCGCTTACAGTTTGCGCGCCCGATGATCTCCTCGGCAGCAGCTGTCACCTGGTCGCGAATGTGATGCCACATTTCGCCCACTGTGGCTATACATTCCACATCACAGGCGTGCAGCCATCGCCTTCTGCAGCTCAATACGTTTTGCCACAGTACCGAGGGAGAGAAGGTTAATTTTACGCTGATTCACAGCGGGAGTGCAACACATTGATTTACGAAAATATATGTACAGTTTGGTTCGCACCAATTTATTATCAATGCCACACTCAGCTCCACGCAGTATTTGTGTCATGCGCACTTCACGCATATCACGCTGACGTACGATGACATAGTCGAGCAGGTGAGCGTGACCACTCCGTGGGTGCGTCCAAGTTGCTATATCACTCGCACTCAGTGCAAATCGAGTGTTCTTGATCGTCAGGCCGTGAGGGGCACACATTGAGAGTAGCCTGTCACCGTTCGCATTCGTTGAACCAATGCGATGCGGACCGATGCATCACGCTCAACGCTTGCGTTGAAATCGCCTAGCAGAAATAGTCGGTCGCTCCTCGACACAGACCGTATCACGGAGGATAACTGAGTGTAGAATTGCTCACGCGTGTCATCGGGATAACACATGGTCGGACCGCAGGTGCTGATAAAAGGGGCAAATTTACCTATTCCGACTCGTAGGCGAACAGTCATCAGTCGTTCACTGATGCATGTCGGTTCAACCACCGGGTGGCCATGAAGGCGATCATATATTGCAAATCCGACCGCATGGTTGCGTGGTGCTGAGGCAGCGTTGCCCACCTAGTAGAATGTGTATCAAGCACCTGCTTTATGCAGCTTACCTTGCTCAACGAGCCGAGTCTCATTGAGCGCAGCAATATCGATTTTGTAGTGCGCCAGTTCCATCGCAACCAGTGCAGTGCGTCGCTCAGGGCGCTCACTCGAGTTCCGGTTTAGTAGCGTGCACGTTCCAGCACGCGATGCTTAGTGCTTGGCGCGTAGACATACGATTGCATTGGTGGGCAATCGCACGCGTGGTGGCAGTTGTGCTTCATAGGTTTGCTTGAGGGACTCCACCAGGAGCCTTTGGCTCAATGGCCTGACCTACAAGGCAGTGGGGAGCAGATCCAGCTCGGGAGTGTGATTGCAGAGACAGATTGGGATCTTCTTGACGGCCGTCACACGCAGCCTTTGAGGTACTTGAACGATTCATATGTCTTTTGCGACCGTAGTGGCATAGACCTGCGACCACGGCCAGACGCAGGTGGCTTTTGGCGGGTTTGCACCAATTTGACCATGGGTTGCTTGGCTTGGGGCGATCAGTAGCAAAGTGTTGAGCACCCGGAGGTGCCCTCCCACAGTCAGAGACAGTGCGTGCTCTAAACCAGTCGAGCTGAGCTTCTAACCCGTAGACCTGTTGTCTCCCATGGCTAGGTTTCTCAGGAAGAGGGCCATCGACCACTTCCCAATCTCTGAAGATGATGCACTAGGATACTGGCAGAGCGCCTACACCTGACAGGAGAACAACTTTGGGTCCTCAGTCAAAGCCTGCGATTAAATGTATACGCCAAAGGCAGTGGGTCTAGCACATGGTCACTTCACTGACTCATGCGGATTGATGTCCTGGATCTTAGCAGAGGGAAGGGCGTAACCCAACTCCTACCCTGCGGTCGCCACGAGGAGGCCTCCAGGACATGAGATATTAGTATGAACTGATCGCAGCCTACTACGGCTGTTTTGCATGTACCAACCTTTGCACCAGCCTATTGCAAACGTTCCACATCCAGATGGTGAATCTTCTAAACTGGTTTTCAATTGGCTGGCACATGAGTAACTGATTGAAGGGCATGCTTTTAACTATGAGCTCCTTATTTCGTTCGCAGATAATGCCCTAGTTTACGGACAGGAAAATGCGCGACTGTGGTCCTTTCAAGTTATCGTCAGTGGGACACTTTCCGTGGACACATTTTTCCTTATGTCGTAAGTTGCTCCACCTTAGTCCAAAAGGCCAGATCTACCAAGTTTTCAATTTCTAGATTAGTCGCCCGTTGGTGTGGTAGGGCTTTCACCAATTGTATTGTTAGTTTTTGTTTCTAGACACGGTAGCTGTTTTCCCTATTCTCTAAAACAAGCACATAAAAATGGGAAGCTTCACCAGCAATTCAAGAGCAACTCCTAGTATTGCAGTACCTAAATGAACTGTCGATAAACGTAACGTATTTTTCGCAGAAACGAGACGCATTTAAGTATTTGAACACTGAATTATTTCTTCTCGCTGTCACAAGATGTGCTCAATTCTTTTCTGTTACAGCGGACTGATGGCGACTTATATGCTGTTGCCGCGTATTCAACACGTTAGCGGTTACCTCAAACATTGCCGGTTTTGGTCCGTCTTCATTCTACACCGGTTTTTACGGTAAGCTTTGGAAGATGGCATAGTTCTCGGGAATATGTTGTGTTTTAATTAAGATTCATATAATAGCCAGGCTATGTATACTACCACTGTAGTACGACATCCAAAGAGCACTTGTCGCTTCCCTAAATGGCTGGCATCACATAACACCCAATATTCATCTGCTTCAACATTTACCATCCCAACGCCAAACTTGGTCAAGCTTCACTTCAGTGGAAATCGCTTTAAATTGGACGTTTTGCAAACAACTTTGGACATTTTGCCAAATAGAATGGACTTCTTGCAAACCACTTTGAACACATTGGCTTTTAAGCAGAAAACCAGCAATTCACTTGCAAGAAATGAGGAGTAAGGCGACAAGGCGATGTTCAGACTACATTGTAGTCGTGCTAATGCAACCGAATTGTGTAACTAGCGGGTGCCACTGCCAACTCTTCCCTTGATCATAAACCTTGATCGCCTCGAGCAAAGGTAATGACCGAGTATGCTTCTATCACCCCATCTGTCTTCTCGTAGTTTATAGGTTTCTGACTTTACACATTGACATGTGTAGCTATGTGAATACTGGAAATTCAGACTTCTAAATCACCTAGTCTCTCATGAATTAAACAAATATTACCTAGTGTTGCAGGGTCGTTGTGAAGCACTCGTTTTGAGAGTGCAGTATGATGCGCCATCTCAATGTGGACCGCGATTTTTCAGTGAATTAAACCTTGGCCCATTCACTTTGACCGTAACTGATGAAACAGATAGGCGGCGATCCAGTTGTCCACTGTCACTCTGTGAGTCTTCGCGTATTTTTTATGGGCTAACCTATTCAGCTGCTAGATTATTGGATCATTGCAGACTATCATGACTCCATCAAACACACCATAGCTTTATTGGCCTACTGCTGCAAGTCGTTATGGAAGAAAGGGGAGTAAAACGACTGGACGCTGTTCAGTCCAGATTGTGCTTGCGCGAATGCAACGGGACTGTGCAAACAGTGGGCGGTTGTGCAAGTCTTCTTCCCGAACATTGGCGTTGTGCACCTCGAGCAAACCAGGAGACCCATTTGTCCCGTGTCGCTCTATGTGCTTTCGTGTATTTCCTGTAGGTGTATGGGCGAACCTATGCGGCACAGTCACTGGAACACTGTTAGCTATCATGAATCCAGCTAAATCAGTCTAGCTCCATTGGTTTACATCCGCAGCTTGTTATCAATGCAGGGGAGTAAGATGCTTGTACAGTATTCCGGCTACATTGCACTTACACGATCGCAACGTAAGTGCATAAGCAGTGGGCGATTGTGCAATCCCTCCTATTGATTATGTGCGTCGATTGTCTCGATCAGAACCGGGGAACCAGTTGTCTCGTGTCACTCCATGGGCCTTTGCATATGTTATGTGGGCGTGTGGGCGAACCTATTTAGCTGCTGGAATATTGGGTCAATGTAGGCTATGATGAATATACCAAAACTAGGAGAATATCGCTAGTATAAAGTGGCAGTTTGTTATCATTGCAGAGGAGTAAGGCGACTGGACGAAGTTTCCACCAGATATTGGTCATGCGAATGCAACAGAACTGCGCAAGCAATGGGCAGTGGTGCAAGCTTTCCACTTGATCATTGGCGTCTTTCATCTTGAGTAAAGCCGGTGAAATAGTTGTCCCCTGTTGTCCTATGGGCATTCGCGTATTTTTTGCGGGTGTGTGGGCGAACAAATGCCTTGCAATCATTGGAACGGTGCAGGCGGTTAAGCATCCACCAAAGCCCGTCCAGCTTTACTGGCCTACCGTTGCAGTTTGTTATCAAGGACAGGATAGCAAGACAACTATACCTTCTCCCGATTGCTTGCATCCATAGTGTAATTGAATTGCTTCCTTACACTATGATTTGCATCTGCAATCAAGTTAAACATAATCCTTAAGGCATTTGAAGTGCATCCATTACGATTTCGACGCACCAAGCGCGCGCATGGAACTTGGAATTGAGTTAGCCGTAAGCAGCCAATGACGGCAGATGTAATAACCCTTGCATGAATGTATGAGTTAGTGGTGTGTGCTGGAGACGCATGGGCGTTCTAGCCTCCATTCAACAACGGCGCCGAATCTGGAGCTAGTTCCACGCAGATTAGGGGCACAAGGTTGTGCAAACACGTGGTGCTTCTGCACCATTTGAGGTGGGGGGCTGCTAACATGGTAATGCGACACCCCATTAGCTATCTTAAGGCTAGTTTGGCACTTGCGTAACCCAAGGATTTGGACAACCTACCAAAGTACGGGCATACGACGGTACTGTGTCCGAATACGGAGGCAGCCACAGATGCATGGCTGCGAATGGCCTGGGGCGGTGTGAGGTGCTTGCTAGTAAAGCGACAAAAGAGGCCTGTGCAACCGAAATACAGGCTGAAAAATGGACGTCTTGGGTTATGAAGAGCCGCTTTGAGCGGCGGTCTGCTGAGAGGGTTAATGCCGAAATACGACTGTGGCTATTTTGTTACAATGCGAGTAGGCCCTGCTTTGTTACAGCAACCGGCACTTGCCTTTATGGTGGATGTAGTACACCGACTTGCTGGTCCCAGTATCAATAGTTATACTGAGACTGAGCTGTCGGTAGTTTGCATCAGCTGATCTGTACACACATGCATGAGCGGACTGGTGCAGACCTGAGGTAAGGGAAACTGACACGCGAGTCGGTGCGCATCAACTGAATTTGTATCCCGTACCCAGTTATGTGGTGGTTCCCACATGGGAGTCACTCCATCGTTTCTTGGCAGCTCTGTCTAGCCGCTTCAATGCCTCTTCTGCAGCAAAGGTACCTGGCCGACACAGCATATAGGCGAGCAGCACCACAGTTCCTTCCTGCGGTAGTTGTATCTGCAAAGTGCATAATTCCGCGAGGTCGATAACACACAATTCCCTACCTAACGACCTGTTAACGTTTAGTCCACAATCAAAGTTCGCAGTACAATGGGCTATATCGGGTCCAATAGATAACGCTTGACATATCTCGTAGGATAGCCGTAATAGAGAGCGAAAGACTAAATAAGGAACGTACCAATAAGATGGAACGTGACGTGGTGATTTTAGAGATACATTTACTTTATAACTTATATGCGTTCATTTCGTTGCAACTTATCGCTTGTCATAGTTTACATCTGCATCACGAAGCGGGAAACTCTAAGAAAATATTTGTACATGAAATTTCCTTTCAAATTCCAAATAAGTACATCAAAAGGTGAAGGTTGTGGGAGGACACTATTTGGATGACCTACCAGCGCTCGGGCAGGTTCAATTTGTCCGGATATCAAAACAGTACCAGGTGTATGACTGTGAATGATCAAATGTTATGGCGTGCTCGTGAATAATGCGACATAAGCGAGCAGCGTAACTTGCCACTGAACTCTGAGTTGACTGATAGCCCTCTTGGGTAAAAGCGAGATGTTTTGAGCGGCGCTACATTGAGAGCACTAATAGCGAAGTACGACTGGGCAATTTGGTTGCAGCATGACTAGGCACTACTTTGTTACGGTAGGCGTCACTTACTATTGGTCTATTATTAAGCTGATGTAAATAAAATGTGAGAAGGCGACGAAATATCTCCCCAAGGAACATCCGATTTGGTGTTTAGTGGGTAGGAGCATTTGCCGCTGACTCGTGTGATCTGGGTGCGTCCAGCAAAAGAAGCACTCAGCAAATTGGTGATGATGGAAGGATGTATTATTTGATTGGGTATATTTTTCGATAGCATTTCGCGGTTGAAACAGCGGGATGCGTTGTTACACTCAAGAAAACACGCACGTGTTGATCTGTTTCTGTTATCCGATGATGGCAGCATAGAACGTAGGAGGCGCGCCACTGCATCAACTGTAGATCTCGAAGTATGATAAGTGTTTGAAGGCGGTCATTCGGGCGGGTTTGTGACAGCATCACTACGGGAATGATTTTCTCTTGAAGCCTCTAGGCAACAGAAGAACAAACAACAGGTTGACATTTGTTGGACCATTTTCTTGGTACCGGTGCCATGCTTTTGTTCCCACGATTGGACTGAATATACACTTGACGGAGACGGTATAGTTCTTTCTTCGTTCGAACATTGAGATACCTGACAGAGATGCATTCTCCTTAAGTCCACATAGCCTTTTCAGATGGAGGAAGTTGAGAGTTTTGCTGGGACAGCCGATGTCAAAACCGCATTTTAGATAGCTAGTCAAGTTATCACAATACTTGGATACGTCAGTGTTAAAAGATAAACAAACGTATGTGGATGAAACCATTCCACGAGGTAGATCGCTATTTTTTGAAGAGTCCTGCCTCTACATGAACCTACTCACACCAGCTCAATAATAGCCTACGCAGATGCTACGCTAATAACATATGCTGATAACATCGTCCTGTAGTCTGAACAGCGCCTAGTCGCCTTAGTCCTCATTTCTTGCAAGTGAATTGGTGATTGTCCGCTTAAAATTCAATGTGTCCAATGTGATTTGCAAGAAGTCCATTTTGCTTTGCAAACTGTCTAACCTGGGTTGCAGAACGTCCAATTTAAAGTGAAAGTGTTATATTTACGACAAATGTACGCACGGCCCACGACCTGGGCATTACTTAAGTTCGCCGAAAGTGGACAAGTGTCCGGGCATAATACTGAAAAGTTAATCACGATAACTACAAAAGATGGTCAGGATGGCACGCAAACGTGTGAGATGTTCTGTGACTATACACCGCATGTAGGTGTCATACACTTCAGCAAATTATCTCATACTAGACACACACAAGTTGGATATGTCAAGTTTGGTGAACCCCATTGCCAAAACGTGCTTGGCCTATGCGGAGTATGTAGTACCCCGGTTGTTGTGGATTAGCGGATGATGCATGAAAACTTCGAACGCACACAAAGCGCTTTGTCCGCCAGCGCTTACTCAGTGAAGATCGATTGGGTTTGGGGCTGTTCGTCCCCTGGAGGTTGGAGATTTTGTTGAAAGTACCCCTGCTCGAATTTGAATCCCTCTGCTATAGAGTCTGAG